TCCATCCCTTCGCCCTCCTCCCCGCTCATCTTCCTCTACCCCGTTCCTTCCAGCTCCTCCTCGCTCGCGCACCACCCCGCTCCTCCCAGTACTCCTCGCCCTACCCCGTTCCTTTCCGTTCCTCCCTGCTCTCGGGCCCACCCCGCTCCTCGCACCCCCTGCGCACACCTTCCCCCCAGCCCCATCCCGCTCCTCTCCGCTCTCACCGCACCGTACTCCATCCCCTCAGGACCGCCCCACCGTCCCGCCCACGTACTTGCACATCATCAACGGCGCCCGCAACGGCGACCTCATCAACGGCGCCCGCTGTCTCCGCGGGCGGAGCGGCCACCGCGTGGTTCGAGTGGATACGCTGCGGTGGCGAAACCGATAAGACTGCTGGGGAGGGGCAGAACGACCAGAGGGATGCGGCTGGAATTTTGTTTCGATCACGAGGTAAAGCGCATTTCCGGGACTTGGAGGGGATTCGCTGCACTTGGCAGACAGTCGTTTGAATGAAGAATGCAATTTGCAACCCCCGGAACACGTATCAATGAAAATGTCTTTTTATACACTGCAACACACGATATTTCACTGCTTCACTTAAGTTTTTAATTCTTCATTGTATAATTTATTCAAATTCATTTACCTGAAGGCAACACAGAAACAACGTTGGTTAGACAAATATGCAATGTGTGATAGGAAAAAATGCAAGTATTTTAAGATAAAATACGAAGAAATAAATTTATAGTTTACAATCGTAGTTTCAGTGGTTGTGTCATTACTATTATCATTTTGGAATTAAGCAATAAACCTGTTCAATGTGATCTGTCAATATCCTCGCTAGCTATTTAATTGATTTCGCTACCCGTATTTCGATTAACCACGTTATTTCGTTATTTTCAGGTGAATATTTAAAAATATTCTAATAATATTAATAACTTTCTCCCAAACACCATTTTGTCTTGAAAACTAAATTCTAAAAATAACACGATAGTAATACGAATCTTGTTTTGATGACTTTATTTTCATTTGTTACTGGGTAACTTTTGCATCGTAAAAATATCAAAGAATTGAGAACTGACTTTTTTACATCAAATTTGCACGTAAGATCTGATTTAAAAATTCCGTGAACGATTTTGAGTCCGATGAAGTTTTAGCGACGCGGGAACGCGCAGATTTCTGGAACTAAAATTACTCACTAAAATTAAGAAATTATTCGCCGCAAGGAACAGTGTAAAATGTGTCTAAATAATTTAATCATAATTGTAACAAAACTTTTAATAGAAAAATTAATTACTAGTAACGAGTTTGTATGTAATTACATGTTTTTACAGGTACACGATATCTGCATTCAATAGTATATTTTAGAATTTACAAGATATTCTGAATGAATTAAAACCATTTTGTTTTACTTATTTTGGTATAATTAGAACTAGTACATTTTCCAGTTATTGCTACATATATTGCAACATTTTATTATTTTATACGTCAAAAAAGAAAATTTAGATACGAGTATGCAATATAGAATGTTACTGGCATCATCTTGATTACTTGGCGATGTAATACTTCCACGCTTCTATGACAACAGGACCTTCGCCATAAATTGTGAAACTTACACACACACCCTGCTTCTCAGAAACCTCGTACTCAGAATCAAGAATTTACAGATGTTTGTGAAGCAAAAGTAATTTCACGTGTTTACCCACATTTCATACTGAAAATCTCGAGTTTTTACAGCTAATTGTTTTATGACGATTTGGGGGGACGGGGTCCTTCACCAGATACCCGGAACTACTATTCACTTGAGTACTGGCTCCTCGTAAACCACTTTGTTAGTTCTACGAACGTATTTTGTGCATCGAATAAAACTCTGTGTGGTTGAACATGTGTACAATTACTTCTGCAGATATAAAATCTTGTTTCAGCCGCTCCGAATCCGTTTACGGTCTGAGTGACATCCAGTGTTTGGAAAATGTTTGTATAGAGTAATTTTAAACAATATGGACAATTTACATTTTACATATTTTCTTATTTTTCCAAAATATTTTGAAAAAAAACAACATATTTACGTACATATTTTAATTATTTTCCTACAAATTTCTTTCTAAATTAATTATTTGTGTTTTGAAAACGAATACTTACTATTTTGCGAACTTCACATTTACATTTTAAATCGAATAATATTTTAGGCCTAAATTTGTGACTCATTATTGTTTTATTTCACTGCGGATATTACTTAATAATTTATCGAGAGGGAGACGTACGTAACATCGCGTAACTACAGTTTCAGCTTTCCAGCTGAGACGTGAATTGTAAAAGTCTGCTCGCTTCCTCATCTGCCCAGAAAGTTCATTTCCTATGTGCAAGCGCTCATGCACTTGGTCTCGTTTCCATTGGAAAAGCAATTGAGACAGCGCTTTCAATGGTACTAGCTTTAGATTAAAGCAACTTTTATACTCCTCACTTTCCTATACAGTACTGCCCGAAGAAACGCTACAAAAACAGGAAAAGCGACTGTGAGAGGAATACAAAAGCTGTCTATGAAAATAAAAGTTTAAATAAAGCTTTCTCAAACCGACATCCAAACGCAATGACGTTAAAGGATAAACGGCTACAAACAATATTGGATTTTTTATGGATGACGTCTCAGGAAAGTTATTTCTAAACAAAAGTGTTGGAAAATAACCGAAGGTAAGATGTGCATGCTACAATAAGAGATGATGTTCCTAATCTGAGGAGAATAGAAAAGTTGAGACGAGCGAGGTACAAGGATGGCGCCGAGCGGAGGGGACACACAAGCAATATATTTAAATTGTGGTAGAGTAAGGGGAGAGTGCACACAAGTAAGGACAGCACTTAACGGCGAGAAACGTCTTAATTCGTAGCATAAGAAAAAGCATTGAGAGGATCCAACTGCAAGACGAAACAACCATGATCAACTGATTAGATTCCTTGGCACCGAAACCACAGCACCCGATTCCAAACCCTGGGGAACGCTCGTCCGCACAGTTCTTTCAGCGAGGGGAGAATAGAAAAGTTGAGACGAGCGAGGAATGGCGGCGGGCGGCGGGGACACGTTTAATCGCGCGTTGACGACGGAGAAGGCGGCGGAGCCCGCGGCAGCCGCGGCATCTCCGGTGTCGCGGGCGTCGCAGGCGTCGCCGTCGCCTTGACGCGGGGGTAATCCCAGCGGCGCCCCGACAGCTTAATTATGCGTTCTTTCAATTTCGCGCAGCGCGCAGGCCGGGGCCCGGGGCGGCGGAGCGGGGCGGCGGGCGGGCCCTGGCGGCCTGAAGGGCGCGTCGGAGGCGAGGACGCGCCGACGCCCGCTGGCGGCGGTGCCGAGGACACCGCGTCAGAAAAACTGCCCGAAGATAAATGACGGGAGTATCGCTGTTAATGAAGGCGAGATTCTCGCAACCACGGCGGTGGGCCCAGGCTAAGGGCGGGTTGGGGGCGGGGCGGGGATGCAAGTGACGGCCGGGAGACTGGTGGATACGCGGCGGCAGGTAGCGGGCGGCGGGGGCGTGGTTGAAGTGAGGGAGATGGGGAAAGAGGAGGAAGGGCGGGAGAGGGAGAGGGAGAGGGAGAGAGAGAGAGAGAGAGAGAGAGAGAGAGAGAGAGAGAGAGTGGGGTGAGAGGAATGAGACGGATGGATCATGCGAGCATGAGGTTGGTGATCTACCCGAGAAGAGTGCAGCAAGAGAGGGTCGAATGAAACAACACGGAGAAGGAAGGATGACGATTGCAGGAAGGTTTTTATTGTGAATACATGAAACGGGGTTGTGAGTGATGAGTGAATGATAATGTTGGGCTGATTTTTATCCACCAGGAGCAATAAGAGGAGAAAGGAAGGGCAGGTAGGAAGGTGGAGGATGCTAGAGGAATCAATGTGGTGGATAAGAACTTGCGTATGGGGGATTGTCAGGCGTGGCGACCGGATGGTTAGGGGTGGAGAACGGCCCAGGAAGGCGAAGAGCGGGGCATCCGAGCCCGTGAGAGGAGACGCCGGGCGCAGGTGGACGCGGGGCGGCTGCAGAAGCGAGGGCTTGCACGGCCAGTTGGCGATGAGCCGGGGCGGGCGGCGGGTGAACACGGGGACGTCAGCAGCGGGCTGCGCGGGGGCGAGGGGGCGAGGAAGCCGCGGGCTGAGTAATGGGCCGGGGGCAGGCCGCCTTCCGCGCCTCCATCACGCCCCGCCCTCCCCACTTCCCCTGCGGCGCGCGCGGCGGCGATCGCGGACTGACTCGCTCGCCCAGGTGTCCCGCGCAGATTCTCCGCCCTCTGCCCCCGCGGGCCCGTCCGCCCCGACCCGCCCCGCCGGAAGCAGAACGCTTTCACTGGCGCGCGGGCGGCGGCCGTAGAAATTGGAGGCGGCCTGGCGACGTGCTTGGGCTGCAGAGATGAGTGGTGGGGATGGGGATGGAGAATTGAGGGGGCGGGGGCAAAGGGCAAGGACAGGCGGTGTCGTTGGCGGTGGTCGGTGGGCGTGTCGTTCGGCGATCGGTCGGTTGGCGGTGTCGTGGCGGTGTCGTTTGGCGGGTGTCGTTGGCGGTGTCGTTGGCGGTGTCGTTTGGGGTGTCGTTGGCGGGGTCGTTGGCGGGGTCGTTGGGGGGTCGTTGGCGGGGTCGTTGGCGGGTCGTTGGCGGGGTCGTTGCGGGGTCGTGGCGGGGTCGTTGCGGGGTCGTTGGCGGGGTCGTTGGCGGGTCGTTGGCGGGGTCGTTGGGGGGGTCCGTTGGCGGGGTTCGTTGGCCGGGTCCGTGTGCGGGGTCGTTGGCGGGTCGTTGGCGGGGTCGTTGGCGGGGTGGTTGGCGGGGGTCGTTGGCGGGGTCGTTGGCGGGTCGTTGGCGGGTCGTTGGCGGGGTCGTTGGCGGGGTTTCGTTGGCGGGGTCGTTGGCGGGGTCCGTTGGCGGGGTCGTTGGTGGGGTCGTGCGGGGTCGTGGCGGGGTCCCGTTGCGGGTCGTTGCGGGGTCGTTGGCGGGGTCGTTGGCGGGGTCCGTTGCGGGGGTCGTTGGAGGTGGTCGTTGGCGGGATCGGTGGTGGGGTCGGTGGTGGGGTCCGTGGCGGAGTTGGTGGTGAGGCCCGGTTTTGGGGTCGGGTGCCAGAGAGTGGGGTAGGGGGCCGTGTGCAGAGTCGGTGGGCGATGGTGATTAGTGCGGCGATGGCGGGGTTTGCGCGTGGGGCATTAGTGGTGGCGTAGCGGTGTGGTGTGGCTGTGGGGGTAGCGGAAGTCGGCAGGTGGAAAGCGTGAGGAAAGACAGGAGTAGTAAGAGGCTAAGAGGCGTGGCGAGGGTGCGGAGACGCCCGCAGATGCAGCAGTGGAGGAAGTGGGGAAGCGAAGATGCCTCGTGGAAGCAGCATTCAGGTAGCTGTTCTGGGTGGTGTTAATGTAATTGCAGCAGGTCTGGTGATGGTAACGACGGCGGTGTTGGTGAGGAACGTGTGGGGGTGGGTCCATGTAATGTACAGGTGGGTGGGGCGGGTGGGAAGGGAGCGTTACAACGACTTGGACGGAGGATGCAGTAGCGACGCACGATGGATAGCACCAGTTGGTGCAGTTGAGGGATTGCTCATGAAACGGAAGAGTCGAAATGGGGCAAATTACGACCTCCTGGGGAAGAAAATGAGAGAGCAAGGGCCGTAACGAAAGAATGTTTACTCCCACGCAAGGACGATAGGAGCAAGACGGGGGATTCCGCTTGGTTAGCAGGGTTGGGCGGGTGGATGCAGCGATAAGACTAAGGACGCAGTGGTAATGGCATCTTGATTGTCGACTTCTAGCGGCGACCAGTGAGTAATGCACTATCTACACTCTCTTTCACTTCTCTCGACTCTCGCTCGACACAACCAAACATGGAGAAACAAAATGGGATGGGAATGGGGAAATTACATACTTTCTAAACAGGAACGTAACGCTCGCCCAAAACTTTTAAGGTGGATAAATCTTTTAGGGTTGTCCTAAAATTTATGAAGATAGGAATTTTTTAGGAAAATTTTCGGCCATAGGGAAACTGAAATTAAGGGAGTGGGGAAAACAGCACTGGTTAGCTTTAAGCGGACTAGACTGGGAGAGAATAAATGTTAATAAGCTACCAATAAGTAAGTTAATCAGTAATTTTATGTTAAGTTAGGGAAAAAATAATGAAATAGTCGTAAGTCGTAGTCAATTGGTAAAGGAACAGGTCAATATAATAAATAAGAATAAAAACTGGGCATAGTAAATAAGCACAATTAAGGGGTGAAGGTAAGGGGAGATCGAAAATTATAAGGGAAGAGGCGTTGTGCGGACGATCATCTGTGGCGTTGTTTGATTTCAGGTTGCCTGAGGAGGCAAGCACTGGAAGGAGACGGCCGGACGCCCGCGCCAGAAAATAAATAGTTAAAAATAAACGTCGGATAATTAGTATTACTCGGCTTCTGACGGCAGGTTTTTCCCCCTTCAGGGTTTTTTTCCTGAGCCGTACCTTATCGTCTCATTTTCGCGGCTTTGATGCGATGGAGAGACCATTTGGGGTGAATACGAAAATTCGAAAGATTAGAACGCGAAAAGATGTAGGTATTGTAATGGCTTAAAGGCTTTCGGCCTAGCCACATAGGATCACTAATCTAATTTGTTTCTAATAATTACCTATTATCTAAAAATAAATAAATAAATGTTACTATGCAGCTTTGGTTCCGATAATGAACGCGTGAAGCGTATCGCAGTGCATCAAAATGCGAAATGGTCAGTTCCAAAATACAAATGTTTAGTAATTATAATGGAATATTAGAAAATTAATCGTAAAAACAACAGTTTTGGGAAACGCTTACGCATTAGGAACAATGAGACGAAATACTAGACAGTGCTTACGTAATTAAGCATTATAACGCGTTTGGATACAGCACAGGAATTCTTTCTGAAATATGGTATCTATAAAATCAGAATTTTTTATTAGTCAGGCATCGGTGCATGAAATCAATTCAGTGAAAGCACTGCTTTTCCATGGCAGCTGAAATGAAAGGACAAAAATAGAAGAAAAGACCTGTAGAATATGGAGAAGTTACAGGGGAGGACAGGTTATTTGCACAAAAATTCAGTATGTTCCTAACACTTTTCTGATTTTCTTGCTACCTTTTACTTACTTGCTACTTTTAATGCAATTTAGTATATGTTTCTATCTTCAACCCTTAAGAAGTTTGGAGGAAGTGCTACATGTGCGGTTCTGGCCTAGTTTTCTTCTTCATTTGAAATCTCTTGCCAATTACGTTGGCTGCTTAACTCCATATGCGGAGTCACTGGCCACCGAGTCACTGGCCGCAATTTCCCCTCTCGATTACCGAAGTGGTCTAAGGACCCGTGCTTTCAGTGTGGGCACACTGCCTCGCAGTGTGTTCCAGTTGGAGGGCCAAGCAGTCGTTGACCTCCTTGATAGCGCTCCGCTGGGTCAAGTACGAATTGCTATTGACTGGTTGTTTAATCAATGATTTCGAGCGCTTCAACTGATAAGGACATTAGTCCGTTAAGTATAATGCATCCTTTTTCCTCGGCTAATGGTGGAGATTTCCGCTGGATGGTGAGATCCGGCACAGACCTACCGTTGGCCAACGGGGTTTTCCCAATCCAGGTATCTCCCAGCAGCAGGGCATCACCACAGTCGCGACAAGCTCTTAGCACCCGATCGCTCTACCGGCATGTGTGATAGTGTAATGCATACAAGTGAAAGTGTGTGTAAGTAAGGGGTGAGTATAGGACGAGAACGAGGAAAGAAAGATTGCACGTGGCATGCATGTTAGGGTACTGCCCCATCATTCGCCTGATGTTGATCGGAGAAACCATAGAAAACCACCGATCAGCCGCTAGAACTCCCGTCCAGATAGTAACTGAATTCGACCGAGCTATATCACCTAGAGTGGAAACTCCTGCCACTCGAACCCAGGACCTCCGTGTCAGAGGGACTCCAGTGACATCACTTTATACCTTTAGCCACCTCTCCTGGTGGTATGGATTCCCAGTTAGGCCGCCAACAAAATTCTGTTACCGGATGGTGGTCAGGTAATGACATCGTCCAAGTGTAACGTAGTAAACGCCACTAGCGCACTCTTCTATGCCACCCGCACGGGCCAGGAACGAAGTACTGCGACATGCCACAACACACATGTAAACAACCGCGCGGGTCACGAACCCACGACCCTCGCATCCGACTTCGTGGCTGCACGCCTGCCTTAGCTACTCTTTTACCGCTCCGGCCAGGCAGTAATAGTAAAATTCTTGAAAAAGTCAGAAAGAAACATATTCTGCCCAACACGCGTGAAGCGCCTCTGCATTCACATTCTCTGTGCATCAACTAAGAGTACGTGTGTATCTAGCGACGAGAATAACCACCATGGGCGTGAGCGTATCCGGGAGAGAGGAAAGCTGCAAAGTGCGAGCTCGCCCTTAGTCCGTCGCTGTGATGGTAGGGCGGGC